CTTCTAGAGAAATCCTGAAGTATCTGACAGAAATCCAGAATCTGGTCTCGGTTTTACAACCAATCAACTAGGGAATGCTGCTCAATATCTGTGCGGCTGTTTTCCCGACTCCTTAACTGAGAAAAAGGGATCCATAATGAATGGATAAACTGGATGGAGGAGTGGCGTACCTGGAAGAAATGCTCACTACAAACAGGAAGTATTATTGTTCAATTTTCTTCTCTTACTCCTTCTCAAACAAATCTGGCATTCTTTTTATCATTTTTGTCCCATCAAAAGAAGTATGAAGAAAAGCCAAGGACTAGAGAAATAAGTAAGAAAATAGTACAGAGTTCTGAGAAAAATAAAAATGAACAAGCTGCTAGAAGTGGGCATACAAGAACAAAGCTGCGTAGAGAACATCACTGGAACTATGGCACAGAGTCTGGACCAGTTTTAACAGGTTTTTATCTGGGGTTATTTAAGAAAATTTGGCTCCAGAAAGGGAAAGGTTCAGTGCAGCCTGTTAATGTTATTCAAACATTTACATAAATATCAGTTACATGACAGGCTTGTTTTACTGATCACTAACTACTGACTGGGGAAGACCAAGCCTACCTTTATGTTTGTGTGGCAGTTAAAAAGACAGGATTTCTGATGTTTTAGCAAAAAGCAGTAAGAAATCAGGATTCCTTTAGTAAAGTGGCATCACACCAGTGTTTTAGGAGTATACTTATTACCACTGTGGAAGCTATAAGGACACAAATATGGGCTCACTGGCCGTAGAGTCAGACAGGTGTTGGTAGGAAGCATCTGTATAGCCACATCTGGGTAAGCCATTTACTTGTTTCTGTCTCCATTTCCGATCTGCATAATTTGACCAAGTATGACAGCGAATTCATAAGGATTGAATTTGAGCTTCTGTTTGACTTACACTCATGGGCTTCTGGGACGAGACACACCTTCCTTTCCTATAAAATATTATTTCCGTGAAAACATTCAAGTACATAGTTCCAAGGTCTCTTTCCAACTAGAAGTTATCAAGATGCCAATCTAATGCTATGATCCATAGTAAACATTTGGGCACAGGTGTGAAGGGAAGAAAAAAACATCCTGACAAGTTGATAATACCAGCTTGTGTAGCTGGGACTCTGGGACATTCAGCAAATGACTGGTTCTGATAGTTCCACATCCTGTAGTTAGAATCACTGTAATTTTCTATCTTAAAGACACTGAGTAACATGAGACCAATTGGGGAAATGGCTAAGATATACCTCTTCTCTGGTTTCACCTGTCTAAAGCATTATCTTAAAGAGATATGCCTGAGTTGGTAAATGATTACCAAGCCACACTTTATGTAACTATGTACAGAACCTGAGTTCAAATCCAGTGTCAGTAACATCTGTGTGGCTTTGGTTGGGTCAACTGTCTTGGAGTATCAGTTTCCTCAAGTGTGAAAGGAGAATGATAGAACATATGTGCTTGTCTTATTAGCTTGTAATGAAAGTTAAAGAAGATAATTTGGATAAAGCAGCTGGCAGAATACCTGGAGCAGAAGCATGCTCTGCAAAATGAACCCCTTTCTCTTCTGTTTGAACTTTACCTTGCAAAATCACTTAGGGTCTCTCACCACTGATACTACATTTTTGAATTGATATGGAATTAAGGTAAGAGTTAAGGCCAGTCTATAGAAACAATTCAATAATCAGGAGGAAAATGAAAAAAAATCAGTCAATAATTTATTGTTTGTTGGTTCTATGTCATATAGATTGATTGTGCTTTTATAAAGCAAAATTGACTATTTGAGGGGGTTGAATTCTTTAGTTGTTCTATTAGTTCTCCAGTTTGGTAACTTAAAAGTTACAATGCATTGATTTGCAGCCCTGTCAAAGTAAACCTCTACTTAAATTTTATACCCTCCAAAGGCTCATGGTCTCTGAAAAAAAAAAAGTTCTGCTTTCATTGTAAGCAACAGTTAAAATAATATTCTTTGAGTTTAATTAGCAGTTGATTGAATGATTAAATATGCATTTAAAGTAGCCAAAAAATGAAATCATGTTATTGTACTAGGAAAATATCCTCTCACTAACATTTACTGAGTTTTAACAAATGAGTTGATTAGAAGGAAAAGAAAGAGGAACACAGTTCATCAAATGCAACTTGATGCCAGGCTTCCCCACAGACCTAATGTACTCTTATCATAGCACCTCAGGGAAAAAATCAGCGACTGCCTTTCTTAGCAAGAATACACTTTCTGGTTAATGAATCATGCACAGAGATTGTTGCTTTTAATTTATTTACTTGTTTGCCTTTTCAAAGAGTTTATACTCACTTTCTCTGAAAACTATGCAAGATAATCAAAGTGTCGAGTGTATATATGTCAAAGGAGCATCACTGATGATATGCAGTCATGGCCAAAGTTTGTCTTGACTACTTTAACTTCTTAGTTTCTCTGCCTTAAGTAAGGACTTATGCTGAGACTAATCCAGAAATATTAAAATATAGCAGGGGTCCCGGTATGAATCAAGATGTACTCATGGTAGGATTCAGCCAGGTCTAGGGGACAAGTGGGACCAGGGGAGTCGGAAAAAGAAATCCATCACACACACTAGATGGAGTATCGGGTCTTTGAAGAGGGTGAGGGTAGGAGTTCAGCTTAGAGTTTTGTGTCTGTGACTCAAATTTGTCATCTACTGGCTGCCAGAGACTCATAGAAGGGTCCTCAGTTCACAAATGATAAATGCTGGAGAGGGTGTGGAGAAAAGGGAACCCTCCTACACTATTGGTGGGAATGTAGTTTGGTGCAGCCATTATGAAAAACAGTATAGAGATTCCTTAAAAAACTAAAAACAGAGTTATCCTATGATCTAGCAATCCCACTCCTGAGCATATATCTGGAGGAAACTAATTTGAAAAGTTACATACACCCCAATGTTCATAGCAGCACTATTTACAATAGCCAAGACATGGAAGCAACCTAAATGTCCATCGACAGATGACTAGATAAGGAAGCTATGGTATATATATACAATAGAATACTACTCAGCCATAAAAAGGAATAAAATATTGACATTTGTAGCAACATGGATGGACCTGAAGATTGCCATACAAAGTGAAGTACACTAGAAAGAGAAAGAAAAATACCATATGATATCATTTATCTGTGGAATCTTAAAAAATGACACAAATGAACTTATTTATGAAAGAAAGACAGATTAACAGACATAGAAAACAAACTTACGGTTATCAGGAGGAGAAGACGGTGGGGAGGGATAAATTGGGAGTTCGAGATCTGCAGATACTAACTACTATATATAAAATAGATGAACAACAGGGTCCTACTGTATAGCAGAGGGAACTATATTCAGTATCTTGTAACAGCCTATAATGAAAAAGAATATGACAAGGAATATATGTATATATATGTATAAGTGAATCACTGTGCTGTACATCGGAAATTAACACAACATAGCAAACTGAACATACTTAATTAAAAAAAAGAAGTAGCTGAGGTGGGGTTGGGGGGCAGAGGGAAGAGGGGAGGATTAGTCACACAGAATTTAAAGAACAAAACCACCAAACCATAAAGAACTGGAGTGTGCCTGCTGTTTTCACTAGAAATTCTGTTAGACTTTCAGGGTTAAGAACAATGTTTGATGAAAAGGGGGTGAGGGGAGCTCTTCCCCCCCTCCACCGGGCACTAAGACCTCAGTGCCAAGAGAGGCCCAGCTGAGTGGTTGCCCCCCGATCCCCTGCAGGAGGTGACCCACAGCTGTGGGCAGCAGAGGTCGGTCCCTCTGTCAGCTTTGCAGGTGGAGGAGATCTTGGCAGAGTTCAAAAGGACTTTTCATTATCTCACGTGAATTTCCTTCAGAGATTCCCAGACCAGTGACAGGCTTCTGAGGCAGGATGGAGTATTATAATTACCGTGATTCTATTTTAACCTAAGACTAGTATAACCTTGGTTAATACTTGTTGGAGAACATCAGACACGTTCTCTTCTACTCAGAGAAAAGGCGTCATGGGGTGGCAGGAATCACACAGCTGTGGGGTCAACAGGTTTGGGGAGATGCTCACTAACCCACGTACGATGTGCCAGCCACTGCTCCAAGTAAGTGCCTGATGAGCGCTTATTCATTTAATCCTCACAACAAGCCCACTACTATTCCAATCTTACATATGAGAAAATGGAAGCACAGAGAGGTTAATTAATTTTCCCAGGTCACACAGCTCTAAGTGGAATACTGGCACCTCAAGGAGACAGCCTGGCTCTCGTGACCGTCCTCTTAGCACCAAGAGACACCTGTCGTGCCTGGCATAGGGAAGATGTTCATTAAATATTTGCTGATACAAATCATTTTACCAAAGTATTAAAAATGCATTGGGTTTATTGTTCTGGACTTACTAGACTGACCACAGGTAAAAGCAAACAGAAAAATCCCTACAAGTACACCAAAATAAAATCTCAAAGAATTAGAATATGTACAATAATTTAATAGATTTTCTGATTAACCAAGAAAATTACTTCATGTTTTCAATGTCTTCTTATCCCATGAGGAAACTAAATTTCCAGAAGTTCCAAGGCTTACACCAAGCCATGAAGCTGACAAGTAAATTAGTCTGTGCTACACCAGTTGTTCTAGCTCTTTCCCCCAATGTCACAGTGCTGCCTAATCTCAGGGAAAGGGACTGTGTTAACCCAGGATGCTCCCTGGAGACGGATAACCAGGACAACAAGATCTCAAGAGCTGTGCTTTTTTTTGTTCTTCCTCTCACCTGGTTACCAGGCAGAGAATAATTCTGCTTGAATATACTATTTAATTATGCTAGTTAACCATACTGAGAATCTACAACATTAGTCATTAAAAAGGAGAAAAATGGACAAAACACAATGTATAACCATCCTGATTTCAAGCCCAAAGTGTCACCATCCATTCAGCTCTGAGCCAATTACATAGCAACAATAAATGACAATTAGATAAATCAGAAAATCCACCAGCCTATTCTCTGGGTTCGCTTACCTTGGTGTGGAGGACGATTGGCAATGGCAATAGGATCAACAGACTGAAAACCACAAGGAGAAGCTGGCGATAAACTAGAATATAACTGAAGAATTTCATTGTCCCGAGCAGGTGCCTTCAATAGTGTTCTCCTCAAAATAAGGCAGATGTTAAATAACCAACCTGGATTAATATTTCTCCAGCTCATCATCTTCATTTACTGCCCCAGACTGACCAACATGAGTTAAAATTAAATCTTGATTTTTATTGTTTTACTGTCACAATTAACATGGAGAGATAAGCCCAACAGTGTTTTCAAGAAACCAAAGACCATTTACAGGTACGGTTTTTGAAAGGCCAAACTCTCCTTATTTCCTTTGTTCACATTAACCGGAATATAGACCAGCCAAGCCTAGGAGAAGGCAGAACTGTGAAGTGGGTTGAGTCTGCCCGCAGTGAGGACCCTCTGTCCGTTTCGATGTCCCCTGACTTTGAGGCTCCACACTTGGGTGGTGCCTTGAGCAAGTCTTTACTGGGTCACTCCAGTGTCCTGTCCAGTGAAGCCCATTTTCAGAGTGTGAATTGAAATAGCAGCCCCAGTAGTGGGAATTCCAGTGTGAAAGGGCAAGTTTTGGGTGCAGATGGGTTTTTCTAGGGCTTCTTAGATAATGTATTAAGGCAGCTGTCTCACTGCCCACGTGGGGTTCGGCCCAGAGGAGGGCTCCGGACCTCTCTCGTTCAGGAATTCTCTGCTCTCATTCAAAAGATAAATACCTGCTTCTGACAGTGAGTACCCCCAATACCACACTTGGTTGTACAATGACTTCTTCACTGTTTGGAAGCAAAGTTCTGTGTATTTCTTGGACTTTGTGACCTCTTTCAATAGGAAACCAAAAGACTGAGTTGATAGTATTGCTCTGATACTGACTAGACTGATGAGTTAACTATGAGGGAACCTGCACAGAGATAAGTCATTAGAGCCATGTACGAGGGGCTGCGTGTGTATGCGTATAGATGGGAGATGTTCTGACAGTGATATCAAGGATCTGTTTTGAAATGCCTCAGGGCTAGGGACTGGGTGGTTTGTTTCTCGTTGTGTTGTAAATTAATCATCCAAAAGACATCAACTAAACAATTACTTTGCACCCAGCCCTAGGTATAAACAAAACACATTCCCTTCTATAATTTATAGTCAATGTCTCTTGGCACAAATAACCTTACTTTTATGTAATCTATGGTTAGCATTCAGACCTTATTTCTAATTCCTCACTAATGTAACTCTGCTCTCTTTTTCCATCAAGGAAGATAATTTCACCAACACTCAACTCACTGTACTGTTAATGTGGGTGAGAAAGCATTTTCTTCCCTGTAAAAGTCTAAATTTCTAAATATATATAGTGATTCAGGAAAATCACCATAGTACACAGAAGAAAAAAAGTCTCCAAACCAGAAAGGCACATCATATCTTGAATTTCTCAGGTGAAAAAAAAAGTGGGTAATTATAAATAGTAGCAATAAATAGTGAGCAGTAATAAATGAGCAGTAATAATAATAGTGTTAAAAAACACATTAAAGGAACAGAGTTACTTAAAGCAATTTTGATACATTTTTTTTCAATATATAACACCCTGTACATTTAATTGCATGCTTTTTTTTTTGAGATTTTTTTCAAGAAACCATTTCTGTTCTGAAATTTCCTGGGCCACCTGGTGAGACCATTTGAACTTCACTTTCCTCATCTTAAATTTTACTCTGTGAAATGACACCAAAAATGAAAAGGCATTGATGGGACATTTAATGGAAGTGAGTGCCTATGCATACAGGGACTAGTGGCACTCAAACCAGACAGAGGCTAAAGGAAAAACACTTGACATCTGTCAGGGCCTCCTTTCTGTGCCCTGTTTTCTCTATTCTGGTGCCCCTTTCTCACCGGACAAAGTTTTGCAGGACCCTCCTATAAACCGAGGTTCTAGCCAGCTCCATCTTCTGTGGTGGCCCCTTACTAAAAAATGGTTCTACTTTTCTTTATGTCCAGCCAATCTTCTGTTCCTAAGGGTCTTCTCTCCATTATCATAGAGAGAAAAGATCTGATAGAACAATTCACACTAAACACGAATGACTAATATGAGCGGTCTACCTACCTCTGGAAGAGTCAGCAGGAAATGAAACGCTAATGGGAGACTATGGGCCCCTTGGAAACATATCTTAAGGTGTCTTTCAAATCACATCACATTACTAACCAGTTCCACAGTCATGAGGTTTCACCTCTTCTTGGTACAGAAAAACATAAATCTCTCTTACTACATCACAAATGTATTGTTTTATCTATCTGACCTAAAATGAATCACACCATTGTGTAATCAAAGATTAGTCCATTTAAAACATCTTCTCTACAAATATAAGAATATTACAAATATTGTTCATTCATTCACAGTTATATACTATGTTCCAGAAAGTTTACCATCTCATTTAACCTTCAAAACCCAATGCACATTGTTGGTATTGTGTGTATTTTTATAACTATTTCTCTCGTACAGATTTTGAAACTAAAATTCAAAGAGGCCATGTAAAACACAACAGGTACTAAGTGGTATAACAATGATTTAAATCCAGTTCTTTCTCGTACCTAAGGCATTTTTTGGGGGTAATATGTCATGTGCCTACCATGCTGACTGTTAACTGGACACTAAACACTAAATCATCGAATCCAGCATTTGTATATCGGCACGTGGTTTGGCTGGCTGAGGGACGGATTGTAGCTCTAGGGCTTGTTTACGTTAATGTCCATCAAGCCTTATGATGGGACACAACTTACGTGAAAATCAGGTTCGGGCATAAAGAGAAAGAAAGATTCCTTCTTTATATTCTGATTATTTTCATGAAGAAGTTTGGTGCTGAAGTTGTATAGACAGTCAACATGAGGGGAGCAGAAACCAGCTTTCATACCATGCCACACACTTCTCTCAGGCTTGTTTTCTGGCCACCCCTTCCTTATGCCACATTAACTCTCAACTCTGTGCTCTTCTTCAAGTCTCTCCCTATTCCAAGAACATGCTTCCTTTCTCTGTCTTTAAACCCCACCCATCCTCAAAGTTTGAATTCGTAGACTCATCTCAAATCTGCTGCTTCCTATAAATCCAAACTGATGATTCCTGGCTTTCCACAGGGGAAGCTCCTGGGCCAACCGTATCCGAATAGTCTTGAGAGCTCCACAAAAGTGCAGATTCCCTGCCCTACTGGGTCAAAATGTGTCTTCATGTTTAGTTGGATCCCTACGAAGTTCTTGTGCACACTAAGATTTGAGACCCATTGACACAGTATCTGTAAGATGCATTCTGGCCTGTGAGTAGACAGATTTAAATTAATTACTATTTCTTTTAATTGAAGTTTACGGTCAGTTGCAGTGTGTCAATTTCCAGTGCACAGCATAATGTCCCAGCCGTGTGTGTGTGTGTGTATATATATACACACACATATATTCATTTCATATTCTTTTTCATTAAAGGTTGTTACAAGATATTGAATATACTTCCCTGGGCAATACAAAAGAAATTTGTTTTTCATCTATTTTTATATATAGTGGTTAACATTTGCAAATCTCAAACTCCCAAATTTATCCCTTCCCACCCCGTTTCCCCTGGCAACCATAAGATTATTTACTATGTCTGTGAGTCTGTTTCTGTTTTGCAGATGAGCTCATAAATGTCCTCTTTCTTTCTTTTTTATTTTGATCCCATACATGGGTGATATAATGCACATAAATCTTAAATCCTCAATAAACTTGCTAACTGTCTGAGTACAGGGGACATTAATTTCCTTCCCTATGTCCCTAGCAAAGTGACAGGTGAATACTCGGTGAAAATTTTCTCTGGATTTACCTATAAATGTAGATAAACGGGAACCAATTAGCCTCACTGTTTATATAGTGTGGTTTACAGGAGAAGTTCTTCAATAAAGCATTCAGGACTTCAAAGAGATACGACTTGCTCAACGGGGGAATATTTGCTCCATTGCAAATATATATATAAATACTTAGATGAGAAAGTGTGTATGCTCAGTGTACACTTTGACTAGGAAAAAAAAAGTCAAAAGCCTTTCCTGTTGGTGAAAGCAGGCATTATAAACATTTGTATATAAAAGACTGACTGCATTCACTTCAATTGTGTGTTCCAATTTTCACCGTTAGAATGTGTGGAGCTCAAAGTGCAGTCCAGTTTTAGCTGATTGCTGTTGTTGAGATTGTCGAGTCAGGATGTAAGTCAGATTTTCTCTTCACAGTCATTTATTTCTAAGCCTCAACTAATCCTTAATTCTGAATCTCACTCATGGTCCATCCCCTTTTATATATTCTGGTTACCTTCATAAATTCTATCATTTCCAGATACTGCATCGTAAATTGTTTACTCTCTGAGCTCCATGTGTGAGCTATGCCCTAAAACCTTTTTAGATACTCTGAAAACTAAGATCATTTTTCCCCTCCTAACTGGCATCTAGCAGTCATTCCCTTCACCACTTTTTAATATTTTCAGTTTCTTCACGTTCAACTTTTCTATTCCTTAAGATGATGAATTCCCTTGATGAAAGTGAAATGTAAGAATATTGTAGTGAAATTTCCAGGCCCACATCAATTAACTGTATCAGTTTTTATTTTCATTGCCTAAAATAAAGGATAAAGGTATTACCTCGGGATGGATAATCTACCCTAGAGACTCCTGGCTCATGCACAACCCTCTAGACACCTAAATTGGTATCATTCATTATTAACCACAACTTCAATAATCATTCCTCCAATACCATGAAGTAAATGACTGACTGAACAGATGGAGACTGAACCATGACCTACAAGGTGATGACCTGAACTCCCATGAACCGAGAAGCAAAGCAAATTCCAAAAGAGGAGGATCTATTTTTGGCAAAAACAGCAGCTGCCTGAACAGCTGAGCACTCCTGTTCAGACACAACCGGTCACACCCTCCACCTGGGTGCGAGGAACGTTTTTCCCTGACCATGTCTTTCTCTTGGGCACCCTGAGGGATAAAAGGGGAAAATCCAGGGATGGAAGAAGAAAGAGGGGGATGTTGGGAAGAAGAAAGGAGAAAGGACATGCTCTAATAAGCAGCATATTGTTAGAAAAGGAAACTGAATAAAGCTGCCCCAAAATGTCT